AAGCACAAAAGTCTACGTCTCAGTCACACAAGGATGGCGTTCCCTTGAGCGCTGAAAGTGCAAAGCATCCTGAATCTACTGACGAAGCACAAAAGTCTACGTCTCAGTCACACAAGGATGGCGTTTCCCTTGAGCGCTGAAAGTGCAAAGCATCCTGAATCTACTGACGAAGCACAAAAGTCTACGTCTCAGTCACACAAGGATGGCGTTTCCTTGAGCGCTGAAAGTGCAAAGCAATCCTGAATCTACTGACGAAGCACAAAAGTCTACGTCTCAGTCACACAAGGATGGCGTTTCCTTGAGCGCTGAAAGCGCAAAGAATCGTGAAACTACTGACGAGGCTCAAAAGTCTCGTCTCAGTCACACAAGGATGGCACTTCATTGAGCGCTGAAAGTGCAAAGCATCCTGAATCTACTGACGAAGCACAAAAGTCTACGTCTCAGTCACACAAAGATGGCGTTTCCTTGAGCGCTGAGAGCGCAAAGAATCGTGAAACTACTGACGAGGCCCAAAAGTCTCCGTCTCAGTCTCAGAAGATTGGCGTTTCTTCGAGCGCTGAAAGTGCCAAGCATGAAAAGGGAGGCACCGAGAATTCCAAAGAGGTACCCGAGCTTTGTTTTTGCAATTGCCAAAATAAGATGCGAAACTAATCTTTGTTCAAGGGCACAAAAAGCTCACCGGGAGATGCGACTCGATCAGATGGCGGTGCTGTGGCTCAGGCGCCGTCGGAGCAGGTTAGCTAGAGTACCCGACTCTTTTGGGACTTCTTCCTATGAATTTTTCTTGTTCAGAAGAGTACTGCTGAAGCGTCGTCAGGTGTCACAGTGAGTCACTTTCTTTTATTTCGGAAACTGCTGCATGAGCTGAGTAACTTGGCTGTCCAAGAACGGGAACTGTTTTCACCCTACAATGAGAACCCTGAGATAATTGGCACCGTTCGCGTTCCGGTGCTCCAGCTGTGACTCTACCAGATCATCCAATCGTTGCTCATGAGATCCCCACAAGCAATTTTTGAGAGAGACGTTTTGATCCAGTGTTGAGTTGCTTGGCAATTCCCCTGATCGATCCTTATCAACTGTTTCGCTGTCGAGGGATGTCGCTATTTCTGACCTTCCTGGTTGGCAGTAGTGCCATATTTTCTAAACCCGTTCGAAGGCTGGTCATTTTTTTATGAGGGGTCAGTTTGTGGTAGAGTTTTGAGAGAAGATTCCTCAACAAGGCGGGAGTCGAAGAACTGGTACATACCTAGCCGATAGGCAGGCGGGCCTCCTAACATGGTTTCGCAGCGAAGAGTATGCCCCTAGGGCCGTACCCGCTCTTATGCACACCCGCAAATGGGTAATCCCTCGCCGTGTGACTACAGCCGCGTTAGCAGTGGAAAGGGAGCATCGATGAGAGTGGTATGTAAACGGAAATCAACGGAGAAATAAGGGGTCCCATTTCTTGGGTTCTGTGCTGCTTTTCCTGCTGTTGTCTTCATCCCTGCTCCACTGACCACCTCTTCCTTGATGTCTGAAGTGTTTTTTTTTCATCGTAAACTGCGCCTTTAAGTCTTGAAGTTCACCTAGGATGAGCCAACTCGCTCACAAATGCAGGCCCCAACCGACAACGTGAAGCGGGACGACGTTTTTGCCAGGATTGATGAGGTGAGAAGTTCAACCTTATGCCTTCTAGCCTTATGATAGACCTTGTCCAACAGAAATTCGCTGATTGGGGACATTTTTGATTCAAAGTTGTGGAGCTCTGAACTTTTAGGACGTCGACCTAACTAAAGTGCTGGCCGATTTTGATACCGAGCACATCGAAGGTGTAGGCGTCAGTGATGTGAAGTTGAGTACCTCAGATAACGATTTGGCATGATTCAAGTTTCCAGGCAGCAATAAAGGTGACCGTGGAGAATGTAGTATGGAAGTATGAAATGAAGAAATATGGCGAAGAAATTCCCTGAAACGGCTGCCTGTGATCCTAACCTAGTGACGAAAACGGTCAAATAAACTGAACCATTGGAAAAATCAAAATGAGAAAAAATTACAGGGTATCCATCCTGCCCAAGCTATCTTCAAAGGCACATTCACTAAATCATAAAGGTGGTCGTGGGGACAGCGATATTAAAGTAACCGTTCACAGAAAATTCTCGTTTTCCTCCCCAACATGAATATGTCAAATGTGATCACTAGAGACAAAGAACAACGTTTTTCTTGCAAGAGAATTTAGTTTCAAAAACGAACAAACTTATGAAAACCACGCTCTGGGGACGGTCGGGGGTAGGTTGGGCGGAGACAAGGGAACGCATGGAAGAACTGCATCTAGGCGATCATATCGCGTAAACATTTGTGATAGATGTACGGAGGGAATTTAAGCGCGCATCCGTCCGCCCAGTTTTTTGAATTGTTCACTTAAACAAACACAATTTTTTGTTGTCGTTGTTATCATGAATGATGGGTTTTAAGCCAGTTGCGGGGAGAGCTGATCATGATTTTCCCGTGGACGGTCCTTCTGATGTCTTTCGTGAGTAGGACAGTGCTGGCCGCAGAAATAGAACCTAAGATTGCAATGAGGCCCTCTTGTTCTTCTTTTTTTGTCACTATTTACACTAACATCTAATGAAGTTAACGCGAAAGTTCCTGTTATATGCGACGTTTGCGATGTGTCTGCGTCTCACTCGTCTACTATACGCTCTCACTTCAAAATGTTTTCTCTCTCCTCGGCGCACATATTATCTCATACCGTTTTTCTCTTCCGGTTCCTAATGTCGTCCACCCCTTCCAAAAAGAGAGTCTGAAGGCAATTATCTAGTTTTTCAGTGCAATCTAGGAATCATATAAAATCCTAAACCTCTGAACAATACGGTCACATCTACCCTTATTCAATCGAGTAGTACATGAATGTGAATGATATTCCGGGGTACCCCCCAGGAGGCCCGTCGCGCGGCAAGAAGGCAGAGTCGGCGGACGAGTTGCAGCGCGTGATGTGCGATGTAGGACGTGCAATGGGACACTCTTTTAACTTGACGCGAAATCCCTATAGTGCGCGCGCGACTCGTCCGCTGACTTTGCCTTTTTGCCGCGCGACGGGCCTCCTGGGGGGTACCCGATTTTGCGTCATAAGGTTTTGAGTGAGACTGTAATACGTGATCGTGCTTTACAGAAGAAAGCACTGAATGCTGCGAAGAAAATCCTACGAGTGGCCTACAAGGAGAAGGTAATGTGCGCAGTGTTGTTTCCGTGAATTCTCATTTCGAATCACTGATTAAGGCCATGGAAAAGGCCCTGACCAAGGAAGAAAACGACACAATATCGAAATTCTTTTCTGGAAAGCTCCCGTATGACCAAAATGTAAGATTCTCAGCTCCACATACTATACATTGAATTCGTTCCATTGAGAAAATACATGGACTTCAAAGCGAAGAGCTCAACTCGAAGGGGATTTCACCCAGTGAATCAAATTGTTCCGCATCCTCTGACTCCCCGAAAAACGACATTTTTCGAAGAAATTTCACAACTACAAAAACCATCCCACAAACCACTGCTGTTTATTTTGACAAACAGACCTGCGGTTCCGTTCCTACTTCCTCGAATAAGTCTCGAGAAGCATGCTCAAATGATACTAGGTCTCGGACCAAGTTCGCCCAAGCGCCTCCATCGTAGCCTTGACCTCGTCTCCACCTTAAAGACAGCGATTACGATAAATTCAAGAAGGGTTTAGTGTGACGTGGTGGTGCTCAGTGGTACGCCAGTAGCGAAAAAAGCGGAAAAATCCGTCAAGAAAACGCAAAACGGGACCCCTTTTTTGGCCGTTGGTTTTCACTCATGAACAGGTAACAGCTCAGAAAGTGGACGTATGAACGAGTTCACCGCAACGCGTTTGGTGGCACCATGCCAAACCACGCTCCAATCGAGTTGCTCCAGTTGTGCCGCTGCTGGCAACGCAGCTCGTCCAAATCACCAACTAAACTAGTGGGCGGATCGCTTTTGGGGGCGGAGTGCTTTCGAAGTCCTGCTCAGCAACCAGCGCACCTTTCGTCGTGAAAGCGCTACACCTGGCAGCCAAGTAACTGATTCGTGTGGTGCATATGCTTCCCCGATGCGCTCCCTCTTTATCGTAATCGCTCCCTTTAAAGAGGATTCCGCGAAAGTCGATAGTCGAAGAAGAGGAAACTTGCCTTGTTGAAAGTTAGAGGAACCTTCTAAGAGCGCAGACCGACACGCGATTCGCAGAAAAAGGTAAGCCCCGGTGATTTGGCATGGCCTTCCCCGCGCCGCCATCGTCGGGGCACGCCCCCCCCCAACCGTTGGAGCTTCTAGCCCTTTGACAGAGAGAGAGCGTTAGCAGTGAAGAGGGAAGCACCAATAAGGGTCGCAACAATGCGAAAATTAACGAGCAGGTACGGATCTCATTTTTCGGGTTCCGGGTCGTTTTTCATGACTATTTCTCAGCCTTGCACCACTAACTACGTCCACCTTCATTCTGTGGCTGCCTTATAACCGTGAACTCCACGTTTATACTCCAGTTTATTCTTTGAAAGCGACCAAGATAACTTCCTTGAAAACGTTTCTTCGTAAATAGTTTTGTGAATATGTGGAGGTTATATCCACAAATCTCTCCGGATTATAGGAGCTCTCAGTTGAGCGAAGGAAACTGCAACTACTCTAATTCAGTGCAAACTATTATATTTCAAGAATAGTCAAAGGTCAAAACTTGAGCGGCTCAAGCCATCACTTCAGTGTTTTTTTCAAGGTCTTGCATGTACTCGATCGAGCCTTGGACAAAACAATCGACTACATGGAAACGCATGGCACTCACTTCGACGAGGAGACACAGCGCTTGGTCTGGAAAAGAGAAGCGGTAGTCCTGAATAGTTTTGAGCTCTGAGACTTTTATGCAGGTGATGGTCCAGAGACTATAAATGTATGCCAAAATGAGTGAGGAGGCAGATATGGACCAAACGTTTGAATTGGATGGCCACATTTTTCTTAGTCTTACAAAAAGGGTCTTGAAGGCATTTTTTAAAATCATTCAACCGCTGCTTTTCAGCTCAAAGCAGCCATGCTGGAGACCATGCTCACAAAACCAAAGTTTATCCCGAAAACATGGGTACAGCAATATGACAGTATGTCACCATGGTGTTCACTTATTTCCTTTGTAACCAAAACCTTGCCTTGAATCGACTAAGAGAGTAACAAAAAAGGCGTTCATCATACCCTTATGGGATGCGCCGCACATTCTAGAGTCATCGGAGTAGTAGTGGAACTTGAATGCGATTGGCCGGTTGGCTGGCGACAAAGGTCCAGTATTTGATCCCTCCGAAATAACATAATACCATACGAAATAACCGCGCACGACACGCGCGCACCCTTTCGCTACATCATTCCGTCATCAAAGCAAGAGACATCGTCATCACAGAGACATTACAGAACCGCATCTCAAGCAAAACATAACCATGCACTAGAAACTAGGGTTTTCACTCGCCGGGGGGGGGGGGGGGGGGGGGGGGTGACAATTATGGAAAATAATGATGCCGTCAAGCTACTGGAATTGACGGCATCATCCGCTGGATAGGTTCTGTCCGCAGGATCAACAACGAGAAGCGCTACCACAGCTAGTTGTTTAAAACGAATGCCAAAAGCGGTTTTAGTTCACGGAAACGAGCAGCCATCTGCTCCATACCGTAACGGTCCTACGTTTTGCAGTCCTCACACCAACATCTCGAACCAGTTGTCATGGTTTGCTCATCCGCCCGACATACGCCACCCACCTCACTCACAGCGATTTTCGGCCGCTCAGCTCACACTGCTGGAGATTTAATAAGGCGAAATAAGGACCCTCGAATTGACATCTCTAGTCCCCCGCAACCCCTATTTCTACAGGCGTGTTTTCTCTTGCGCCTGCGGCGCGTATGTTGTAAGACACTCGGAGGCTCAAATGTCAGTTCTAACGAAAAAGAAGAAATAAAAATCCGAAAAACATCCTGTAATAGTTTTCACAGACCTCTCCCACCCAATCAATGTACTCGCTCTTACAGAAATTTCCAAGAATCCATCTCAACGACTTGGTATACAATTGGCCAAAATAATACATCGATCCAAGGCAACGCGCGTGTTGACATGGTAAGCTGAGTTTGTAAGTACATTCGACGCGCTTGAATTTTCTATCCCTGATACAAATTATAGAAATGGAATTCACACAAGACATCGCACTTGGATTGTTTGTTGTATTTTGGGACCAAATGACTCAAAATCGTTTGAAGAGACCGAAAGAGAGAAGCAAGCAAAGGTGAGTCTGTGGACGGAATTTGCCTTCTATGGCATTTGCCTTTCTTATATTTAGTTTTGGTTTTCTATTTTTGGGCGCGGTAATAAGTCAAGGGATGAGCCCAAAGAAAACTAGGAGAACTCAGCCAAACCTCTGTATTCGATTATATTCGGCTGCTCACTTCGCGCGTTTGAGCCAACACTCTTAGTCGCACGATACACCTTTTTAACGATGTGATCTTCATAGGGGTGACGCTAAAGCAAAGAATCGCTCCCTTTGCCCCCCCCCTTTCGCCGACCCAAGCCACGGTGCGCGAAAATCCTGTGCGAAATCCACTTTGGCCCAATATTTACTTTGACTCGATACCACTTTAGAGCGGATCAAACAACAACAGTATCTACAGTTTGCGGCGGCGCGCATTGATCAAGGAGCAGAACCCAGTTAAAGAACGAACAAGCTCGCTTCGCGCACTGTCCCGGGCAAGCAGTCTCTAACCAGGAAGGTCTTTCAGGGCGTGACAAGCTTTTTGAAAACGGTCTTTTGCATGATATAGGGGCAGATGCGGGAACCACAGAACCATGTTCAATTTTTCCTGAACGGCCCTCTGAATACCAGAAAAGGAGGTCCCTAGTTCGATTCCTCGTGGTAACAAATTTTTGCATTTCGAGTTGACGTGCCAAAATTCGCGCAAAATGGAGTTAGAACCAACCAGAACAATCAGAACTCCATTTTGCGCGAATTTTGGAACGTCAACTCGAAATGCAAAAATTTGTCACCAAGAGGAATCAACAGGGCGTCAGGAAAATTAATCCTGGTTCTGTGTCCCCCGATCTGCCCCTATATCAGCAAGAACCGTTTCAACCAAAGCCGCACGCCCTGAAAAGACATACTAGTAAACCGGGTCTTCATCCGTAGGGGAAAAATAGTGATAATCCACCTAATACTTGGACAAGCATAGGGAGGATAGGTCGGAAAGGACGTGAGCGACAGCCTATTTCTTCTTTGGCCTTTTTAGCCCTTCTTCCTGGCCTAGCCTTATTTCACGATACCAGTGGTTTTTCGAGCGCCTGTTCGTAAATGCCACCGCGAAAGTGAGCGTGCTTGAACGAAGAAATCCATTTCCCATCCGAGGATGAGAGACCTTTTCAAATAAGTTCATATGAACTATTCAAGATGAACATGTGGAAAGGCTGAGCACCAGTTCACCTGGAACCCCCCTTACTCCGCAGTCGAGCCGGGACTGTCCATCTATCTTTTCAGCCCTCTTCATGACACCACTTGAAAACACGCAGAAGAAGACAGCGAAAGCAAAAAAATCCGAATACAGTTCTCTGGCTAGCATGAACGATACCGTCGAGTCTAGCGTGATAGCAGAACTCACCCCATCCACAACGGCTCCCAATTAGAAACTGCTTCGTATAATTGCGTGCGTGTTAAATGTTGTTCCTTATCACCTTTCGTTGCTGACCCCATTAAATTATCCCATTTTTCGGTATTTGTTTGACGAGAATGGAATGAAGTTTTAAATCTGTGGTAAAATGAATTTCATAGAGTAGTAGGGGAACTTACCGCTAATTTAAGTGCTCACAAAATCTTACCGTTAGTGGAGGTAGCATAAAAAGCTCTATAAGATAAGAGCATCACGGGTTGGTAGAATGGTATCCATTCTCGATTACAATTATTTCTTCGCTCACCGTCAGGAGCCATAAAAAATTAACAGGCTCAAAACAGCTTTAAGTGCGAGACCAGACCTATAACCTACAGGGAATACTCTTCAGATCGGAAGGAGGTGGGAAGAGTACTTCAGGGGGCTTCTGAACGAGGAGTTCTCCCACAAGAACAACTCACGGGCAGAGGCCACAGCTGGTCCCATCGCACTCTGGACAGAGGATGAGGTTAGGTGTGCACTTGGGAGGATGAAGGTTGGAAAGGCGGTTGGTCCAGATGGGGTGCCAATCGAGGCATGGAAGGCGCTCGGAGAGTACGGCATAAGGTGGCTCACCAGCTTCCTGAACAAGGTAACAGTGGAAGGAAAGATGCCGGATGCCTGGAGAACAAGTACTATCGTCCCCATCTTCAAACAGAAGGGTGACGCGATGGACTGCTCCAACTACCGCGGGATCAAGTTGACTGCGCATACCATGAAGTTGTACGAGCGACTGGTCGACTCGAAGCTGCGGGAGCTGGTCCCGATCTCCCAGGAACAGTTCGGGTTCATGCCCGAAAGGTCTACAACGGATGCCATCTTCATCGCCAGGCAAGTGATGGAAAGTATCGCGAAAAGCGCAAACCTTGCTACCTAGCTTTCCTCTTTTTGTAACCAGGGGCGGGGCTTACGCTAAAATCCCTGTTGAAAGCATCCGTTTCTAGGCAGAGGGCTCGAATAAGGTGGGGAATCACAGTATTGATTGGGGGCCGTGGTAAAAGTCGAAATTCTATCGGGTCACATGCTATCGATCGATAAAAAATATCGGTTTTTGCGCAGAGGGCTCGAATGAGGTTGGGAATCACAGTGTTGATTGGGGGCCGTGGTAAAAGTCGAAATTCTATCGGGTCACATGCTATCGATCGATATCGATCGAAAATATGCTCTATATATATGAACCAGTAGTTTGGACAAGATTATAAGTTAAGGAACATAGGATGTATACCGTAACCCACGTTTGCGTCAGAGCGCGGTTGCAGGCTTTCCAGTGCACAATGCCAGCACTAGTGTGAGAGCGGTCAACGACGCCGCCCCTGCTGTTCGGGGCAGCGAGTCTGCCTCGCCGCTTGCGCGGCGAGGCTGAACGCTGCGCGCGCGGGCATAGGGAGGTGATCCCCGGGGTGCCGCCTCATCCGACGTGTGGCGACAGCCGCTTGCGTTGTGTCCTCCACCTTCTACATAAACGGCGCTTAGTACTCTGCGCGGGCCTGCTCGACGCATTCTCTCTTCGTTGAGAGGGTGCAGAGAAGACGAGAAAATCGATGACACGTGAGAATGCGCGCCCCAGTGCAACGTCGAGAAGGTTACGGTATACACCCTATGTTCCTGAACTTATAATCTTGTGTAGTTTGGTGTGTCTTTTCGTAACCAGGGGCGGGGCTTACGCCAGTTGAAAGCATCCGTTTCATTCACGACGGCTGCCCTTTTCCACTTTCGGCCTCGTGGGACGACGAGGTGGTAACGAAAAGAGAGCATTTATTCACTTTCCCCGTGAAGGAATTTAAAAGCATTTTACACTCGATTACGAGGTTTACCCACCTATCTGTCCATTCCTAGCGCCTGGCAAGCGATTATCAGTTGGCAGCCCATATGGGCTGCCATCGTCCCAGGAGCGCATGTTGTTGGCAGCCCATATGGGCGGCCATCGGCGTGAATGTGTTAAACAGCCCCCAGGATCATGTGGACGTCCCGATATTCTAGTGGTACATGTGGCGAGTGCGAAGTGGCAGCGAATGGGACATCAGAAACAAGTATGTTTCCGGCGAACACTGCTGTCGATAAGGGTAACAGTGTTCGAAAACGTTCTAAACGTACTCCTTCACACTATGATTGAAAAGGTGAAACAGTAGGCGTTGATTAATCTTGTTGTTGAGATACGCCGCGCAATTTCCTTCCATTCAAAATCGTAGTAGCA